GTATTTATAGAGAGACCCCAACGCAGGGTCAACAGTCACTTGTGTTGGGTTGGATTGCCAGGCCCTACCCAAGTGACTGCTAAGGCTTACGTGGCGTAGTGAAGATCGGCACGTGGTATTCTCCTTAGTTCAACCATCCCGTGATCTCCGGAAGGTGGGCTGACCAACTCTTTCGGAGGTGGGTAGTTGTCTGATGACGTGTTCCCGCAGGGGGAAGCACGTGGAGAACGTGTGGAAGACGTGTTGTTCTGCCCGACGGGGGGAGGCATGTCTTCCCAGTGTGTCTAGAACTGTTCCTGACACTAGGGAGATTTGGGACTTGTTGGGCATTTTCCAAATAGCGTTGGGTTGGGCCTGCCCGATGGATGGGCAGGCCGGGGCCCAGTCCAGAACAGGAGCCCCCAAGTCGTAGCTCCAAAGTAAAGGAGCGAGAACTTGACAATAACTGTGTCGGGGAGGAAGAAAGTGTGAGGAGGAGTTTTTGTCTGACTGTCGTGTCGAGGACGCAGGAGCGCAAGGATCTTGATCTTGTCGGGCTATCAGGTCGAGGAGGGGAAGGTCGGTGCGTCCTCGCCTGTCCGTGCTCGTGGGGAGAATGAAGGTTCGTGGCCGTTTGTAGTGGCCACCTGTCTAACACTCAATGGATCATGTAGGGTGGCTACTCTAGGGTACTCGAGTGCCTAGGGGAGCTTTGAGTCTCGTACCGAGTTTATAAATAGGCAGGTGTCTGCCCCATTACCACTTTTCGCATTCTCTCGCTGTCGTACGTGATGCTTGAATCTCCGCACACGCATTTGCTCATCAACACCATCGTTACGTCCGCCGCGTGCTCCGTCGTTTCCACCGATCCAGTAAGTTTCCTGCCTTTATTCTTCTATTTTCTTTAAATTTGATTCCTTTGTCGGGGACATGATGAATGCCCTGAGGAGGGCGAGGGTTTTCCGTCGAATACGGAGGTGTACCCTTTGACTTAGGATGAAGGCCCCAAGGACACTTGGGTTGTAGGATGAATGTCCCAGGGACGGTCGACATGATATGGATGGGTACCTCGGGGACGTAGCATAGTGTTGGATGAATACCCCGGGGACGTAAGATATGGTTAGATGAATACTCCGGGGATGTTGAATAGGAGGAATTCCCCAGGGGACGCCTGGGCGGTGTTGAAAGCTGCGGGGACGCGGGCTGCCGCCGAGTTGTGGTTGTCGTCCCCCTCGCCCTTTCACTTGATTTGTGGTGGAAGGGTGAATTTGATTTTGAACGTCGAATTCACTATTCCCTTATTCTTTTCAGGTGAATATGACCTCGTGGGTGCCGGGAATCATGGAAGTCGATGTGGAGCCGGAGGCTCTTGCTGCTGAGGTTCGAGCCTGAAATGTCAAGGATTGGGTTGCCGAGGAACCCTTAAATACGTCGTCCTACTTTGTCGACAACGACACTGATGCCTAGGCGACTGTCGAGGACCACTGCGAGGGCTCCCCCATGAGTTGGCAGGTGTACCGACCACGGGACTATCATCGGATATGCTCGAGCTACAGGAAGATGAGGTTTTCGATGTATGAGTTTTACTTCTGCGAGGTCGGTCTTATGCTGCCTTTTACCGATTTCCAGTTGGGCGTCTTCGACTGGCTAAAATTGGCCTCTTCACAGTTGCACCCTAATGCCATAGCCTTCATCCGGGCATACGAGCTCGTCTGTCGGCATTTGGAGATCAGGGTCACTCTTACGCTGTTTTTTCGCTTTTTCCACCTGCAGAGGCAGACGGTGGATGGCCGACAAGGGTGGGTTTTATTGAAGTAGCCGAGGAGACTCTTCTAGACATATATGGACTATGTTCAGGACTTTAAAGTGTGCTTCTTTGTGGTCCGGCCTATGTCTTTCAAGGCGTGCGCCTCCCTGTACCGACGAGATGCCCGTGAAGCGAATGGGCAGTGGGAGGAAGTTATGGTGTCGAGGGCACCTTTGGAGTGGTCGGAGGAGCATTTCAAGAAGGGAACATATCACTATATCGTGCAGGCAGGGACCATGGGTGAGGAGGACTAGGTGGGCTACCAGAGGATAGTGTCCTTCGTGCTAGGTCTCCAGCGGTGTCAGCTTCGAAAGTGAAGGTGGTCCTCGGGGCGAGCCGCGACGCTCGACGACAGGTATTTACTGAAGATCTGGCCGCGATGATGCGGGTTTTCTCAACTGCTCTAGTCTTAAGTGACAAGGGCTGCTCTTCTTCCGAGCTGGCTAAGTTGCAAGAAGACCTCGCCTTTGCTCAGTCGAGGTTGACCAAGCTGACCGTAGAGCTGGACCTAAGCAAGGAAGAGGTGGTCGTGCAGTGCACGAGGGGTATCGATGCTGAGGATAGGGTAAAAGTTGTCGAGGAAGAATTGTCGAGGCTGCAGGCTCGCGTGGAAGAGCTGGAGAACTCACTTCGTCCTGCCGAGGACGAGACGGATGAGGAGAAGCTTTTTTTCTCTCGTGCTGATTTGCTAGGCAGGATCCGCAAACTGGAGCGCGACTGTCTGGGGGTTGTTGAGGTCGGGTTCTCCAGTGCTGTGGAGTAGATCAGGGTCATGAATCCCGAGGTCGCTCTAGTCACTGAGGGGATTGGGCCCTACAACCAGGTCGTCGACGGGCGGGTGGTCGCGGTTGGTTGTAAGGTTAACGAGGATGTCACCCCGATTGATGAGCCCGAAGAAGGTCGACTCGAAGCCTAGGCTAGGTGTTTCCGGGTCTGCGTGCCCGTAGTTTCCTGCGTGCCCATTTTTGTTTACTTGTTTTGTTGGGAATGCGTGCCCTTTTTGATGTAATTCTTGACTATTGGGTTGGTGCCCCTTTTATAATACAATATTTTGCTTTTCGCTAAGTGTGCGCTCGTTTGTATGTTTACGTGTTCGTATGCTTATATGTTTGTATGAGTTTGTATTCTTCTTTCTCTTTCAATGTTGTTGGGAGCATTGCTCGGCACTTTATCAGTTGCGCCTAGTAGTGTAGGGAATTGGCCAGGGAGATGAGGGATGTCACCTGGTCAGTAACAAAGAGGAGCCGCGGTCGCGATCCTCCCTCCGCGGTGTGAACGTCCCATCGCGAGCTAGGTGTTCTGCCATCTTGGTACGGCGGCGGAGGCTCTCGATTGAAGGGACTCCGTCGAACAGAACGTTCTGCCCGCGTACAAAAGGGCAGGCGCTTGTTTTTGTTAAGTTTTTGGGAGGCGCGCGGTACCAGGTCGCGCTCCCGTGACCGCGAAGTCGTTCTTCGCGGAGAGTGTTTAACTGTATTATCTTTTCAGCTTCTCAGTGTTCCATGGTCGAGCAATTTCGTTCCCGTGTAGGTTTTCGAGGTAGTAGGCCCCGTGTTCCGTCTTGTCCCGAACGCGATAGGGGCCTTCCCAATTTGCGGCGAGTTTGTCTTCGCGTGAGTTTTTTTAGTTTCTTCGCAAGACCAGGTCGCTGACCTGGAAATCGCGCCTTATGACTTTGCTGTCATAGCGAAGGGTGGTTTTTTGTTTTAGCACAGCTTCGCAGAGGGCTACCGCCGGTCGGATTTCTTCGATTAAGTTGAGTTCTTCTCGGAGAGCCTCGTCGTTGGCCTCCTCCTCGAGGGGAGATTCGGTCCTTCTGGAAGGCTCCCTTATTTCTACCGGGATCACCGTCTCGGTCCCGTAGGTGAGTTGGAAAGGGGTCTCTCCGGTGGTTGAGTGGGGCGTCGTTTGGTAGGCCCAAAGCACGCTGTGGAGCTCTTCAACCCATCGCTTCTTGGCGTCCCTAAGTCTTTGCTTTAAACCTCGGAGGATAACCTTGTTTGCTGCCTCTGCTTGGCCGTTCATTTGTGGGTGTTCGACTGAGGTAAAGTGATGCTTGGTTTCGAGTTTGGTTACGAAGTCTCTGAAGTTTTTGTTAGTGAACTGTGTCCCGTTGTTGATCACGATAGCCAGGGGAACGCCGAACCTGGCGAGGATGTTCCTCTTGTAGAAGCGGAGTATATTGTGTGCCGTGATTTTGGCCAGAACTTCGGCCTCGATCCATCTCACACGTCTCTTTCTTTATGCGATTATTTAATATAATTGAGTTTATATGATGATTATTGATTATTTTACAATTAAGTAATACATTATAAACTAACACGTATATCTAAAAACATTTTATAGTGGATCAAATTGAATATCACTTCATAATTATGCACACTACTAACTTTCCATTTCACGAATCATTATTAATCTATTTCATTTTAACTAACAATTATTTTTAATTAAAAGATAAATTCATTATTTTCAAATGTAAATTGTTTTTTTCATTTTAAATTTACACAAACTTACACCTTTATTTAAATATATTCTATATCCACGTATTTTGCTAGTTAAAGGATATAATTTCATTACTTTTACTTTATATGATTCTGCTTGGTATATTCAATTGTTCCTCTTTTTTTTTCCTATGTTCCAACCCATATTTTTTTTATAGGATCATGTTTACGATTTAATTAATTATTTACTATCCTCCATCAATCTTTTTATGTGTTTTGTGATTATTTGTATTTTAGTGGCTTACACCTTTTTTATTAATATATTATATTATCATATGAAAAATAAAAAATAGAAAAAATTAATTAAGATAGTAAATCAGCTTAAAATTATAACAAACACGTAAGATAATTATATTTTAAACATCAACAAATGGTATGCACCATAAACTATATTAAACATGCATAAAGACAAATTATTAATACAATTCATTGCAAATATTTTAATTCTAAAAAGTACTAGGATAAACTTACCATTTTAATTTGATCTTACCTCATTATTATGTAAATATTTTTTTTCTTTCTCTCTTTTTCATTTCTCCATTCTTTATGTCTTAAGAAACATAATCTTACTTTTTTAAATAAACTTTATGAACATAGTCAAATACAGTAGACGACTAGTTGTCTTGGTGACTATTAAACATTAAACATTTATAAGATAGGTCAATATTTTATAAGGTTGAGTTTTAGAGATCTCAAAAGAAGGGATATTAAAAATGGGTGAGAATGTTGGGATTATTTATGTTTGTGTTGTGTTTTTCTTGGCATTCAAAGCAATGGGGAATGTTACTAGAGTTGCACCAATGGATCAAATTTCAGGTACTTTAGTTAGGCTAAAGATATTTATCTTCTTAAAAAGAAATGAAAAACTCTATTATTGTGTATTCAAAGTCACTTGAATATTTTTCTTCTTCTATGTCATTGTTACTTTATCTTTTTCATTTTTTTAGTTTGCTTTCATTTGAAATTGCCGAGTTTGTTCTGTTTTTGTTCAGAAAATAGAACAGTGGTACGTAAATTCTACAAGTTTTTCCTTAAAAAAAAAGTTAATAACATGAATTATAAGAGGTACTGAAAACCAAACAATGTATATAATAAAAAAGTTGGTTATAGGATCGATGAATTTTTTCGAACACAGGTTTGATTGAATATATATATATATATATATATATATATATATATATATATATATATATATATATATATATATATATATATATATATATATATATATATATATATATATATATATATATATATATATATATATATATATATATATATATATATATATATATATATATATTCTTTGTATGTTATTAGGAGTGAATGTTTACATGTGTAACTTTACTAAAAATATTTATTTATTTTTTTAAATATTTGTATTCAATACATTCAAAATATAAATAATTAATTTTTTAAAAAAAATTGTGTGTATTTAATAAATTAAACCTATAATATTTTTCTTATTTGAAATTTTTAATTGAGGTCAGGAACACTAGTAGTTAGCATGATCTTTTTTATAATAATTGTTATAAAATTTTGATTTTTTTTAAATTTTTTTAATGTTTAAATATTGTAAAAAATGAAAAAACAAATTATCCATATTTTTAAAATTTGATTATTAGTATTTATTTTTATCAATTTCAATTTACTCTCAAAAATAAGTTTTTCTTTTTTGATTCATATTCTATGTTTTTAGTTTTTTTCAAAAATTAATATTTTTTAATTCTGTGACCTAAACAAAAGTTTTGATTCTAAAGTGTTTCTAAAACTAAAGTGTTTCTTAAACTAAACATATGTGTGTAGGATTAGAATTACAAAGTACCGTTGGAAATGCAACAATTTTATTTTTATTTTAAATTTTTATAAATTATTTATGTATTTTTATTTCTATAAATATTATTATTATACATGGTTTTTGTCATAATTATTCTCATAATTAAAGTGTGGAAATTCAATAAATTTTTTAACTAGCTATAACTTTCTACATTCTCACTAAATTATTTTTGTCATAAATTTTTTTGACAAACAGATTGATGGGAATTAAATTCCTATCTATAACATTCTAAAGAAATTATATTATTGATATTGTAATTTTTTTAGATTAATTTTCTTTTTACAATTTCTAAAATATTTTGTTAGGAATGTTATTGTAGGAATTTAATCCATAAAATAAAACACTGTTATATATGTTTGGATGAGCATTTCCACCACTATTTTCACATTCTAATGCACTTTTTATTGTGATTTTGTGAAGTTAGAAAACTAAATAAACTTTTAGTGCAACTGTGGTTTTTAACGTGAAGTAAAAGCCTAACTAAATATATACTAACTTTATAAGATTTAGCGTTCACCTATTTAATGATATAGTCAATAACACATATGTATCACACCACATGTTTTTGTTTGTAGAGAATAATAAGAAAGTCTTGAATAAAACGCGACAAGAATTCCAATCCCGCTCTCGCCCCATTGACTACACATTTAAACTTCCAATTACAACAACTTTTTGGCCAGAAGGTAGGTATACACTGTGTCATCTTCATATTCTATCTATTCTCTTGTGATGCATTTTCATGAAAGCATAATCTAGTTTTGAATCGCAACTTGCAGGTAACGGTTTTGCCGATGGAGTCCTCGACCTCGGCGGGCTACAAGTGTCTTTAGTATCAACATTCAACAAAGTTTGGGGCGTCTATGATGGCGGCCAGGACGATCAAGGAGCCTCAGTGTATGATCCAAAAGATATACCTGAAGGATTCTCTATGTTAGGTAGTTACAGCCAACCTAACAACAAACCTCTTTTTGGATATGTTCTTGTCGCAAAGGATGTTTCTTCAAGTACCACCAATGGCACTTTAAAGCCACCAGATGATTATGCTCTTCTATTCGAAACCTCAACCCTCTCATCTAATCAAGATTCTACTTTGTATATTTGGCTACCATTATCGCCGGATGGATATAAAGCATTAGGCCATGTTGTCACCACTACGCCAGACAAACCTCCCCTCAACAAAGTCATGTGTGTCAGGTCAGATCTCACTGAACAATGTGATTTTTTTGCATGGATTTGGGGAGCCAATGATTACAATATTTTCGATGTTACACCAAGCATTAGAGGAACTCAAGGTCATGGCGTTCGCGTCGGCTCCTTCGTTGGCCATTACGGGCTAGGTAATAGTTACACTCCATCTGTTTCATGTTTGAAGAACCTCAATTCCATTTCAAAAATCATGCCTAATGAGAAACAAATCGAGGCAATACTTCAAATTTACTCTCCATTTCTATACCTACATTCCGACGAACAATACTTTCCTTCTTCGGTCAATTGGTTTTTCTCCAATGGAGCATTACTATACAAGAAAGGCGATGAATCAAATCCTATTCCAATACAACAAAATGGCACTAACCTTCCTCAGGATCCTAACACCGATGATGCTTATTGGATAGACTTACCTGCGGATGATGAAAACAAAGATAGGGTCAAACAAGGTAATCTTGAAAGTGCAAAATCTTATGTACATGTGAAACCAATGTTTGGAGGAACATTCACTGATATTGCAATGTGGATATTTTACCCTTTCAATGGTCCTGGAAGAGTAAAAGTAAAGTTTATAAATATTAAACTAGGGAAAATAGGTGAACATGTTGGTGATTGGGAGCATGTAACATTAAGGGTAAGTAATTTGGATGGTCAACTATGGCAAGTGTATTTCTCACAACATCATAGTGGCTCATGGATTGATTCATCTCAACTTGAGTTCCAAAATGATTCAACAAAAAGGCCTATTGTTTATGCTTCATTGCATGGCCATGCAACATATCCACATGAAGGTCTTGTTCTACTAGGAAAAAATGGAATAGGTATGAGAGATGATACTGATAAAGGTGGTAATGTTATGGATATGGGAAAATTTGTGTTGATTTCTGCAGATTATTTAGGATCTGTTGAAGAGCCATCATGGTTGAAATTTTATAGGGAATGGGGTCCACGTATTGACTATAAACTAGATGAGGAATTGGAATTTCTTAAGAAGTTTTTGCTTATTAGGAAGTTAAAAGATGCTTTTGAAAAAATGATTAGGAGTTTACCAAAAGAAATGCTTGGTGAGGAAGGACCAACTGGTCCAAAGGCAAAGAATAGTTGGAATGAGGATGAAGTTTGAAATTTGTATACTTTTAATTATATTGACTATTGTAAAGTTTGAATAGTTATTTCAATTTCACCATAGTTTTGAATGTAATTATAATATAAATAAATATGAGATGGACAAGTTTGTAAGATTTTTTTTCTTAATTAACAACCGAATACATATATTTTTTAATATTAGATTAATTATTTAGTTAATTAAATTTAAATTGATATAATTAATTATTAATAAATTCTATTATAGTCAATTCTTATAAAATAATAATTATTGATGAATTATTTGATTGAATTTTGTGTCTGAATAGACTGTCGTGGGTTGGATCATAGTAATCCTCTTATACTCATGTTTGCAATGGTCGTTTCTCAAATCCTACAAAGTACATCGTTGTTGTTGTTCTTAATTACTCTGTAAAATAATAATATGTTATAAATTGTATTTATCAATTTCAATTTTAATCTATCATTTAATTGTAAAGGAGGATTTATAAAAAAAAGTAAACAATTAAGAGAAAGAATCAAACCAAAACCAAAAGAAAAAAGAGCATCAGTGTTGCTCAAGAGCTACAAACTTGGAACAGACCAAAAATAAAAATAAAAAACTCAAAAAAGAAAACAGAAGCCAGACACCCAACCATTCATTTAATCTATCATGAAAACTCAAAAACAGCATACCTCCGGAAAAAACGAGCAAGTGGGAGGTAGACACGACCTCCACCTGCACAAAACAAAAGGAAGAGTAACTGACTGACAATACTCAACACACCCCTAGATGATAACCCACACGAGAAGGCCTTGCTTTTAATCAGATAAAGGAACAATGAAACTCAAAACAAGGATATGAACAGACTTCCATGCCACGCTAATAATCAAAGGAATTCAATGATTAACCTTCAAACTTTCCTGGAAAAAGATAACTTTGTTACTCATTTTAATCGTTCATACTATAAAATGTCAGATCAAAATTAGAGGTAAAGACATTTGTCTTCCATGACCCAAACCCTGAAACAATTCAAACACCCATAAAATCGAACGAGGCAGTGACACAGACCGCCCCCCACAAAAAACTCAATACCAAATAACTGAAGCAACCTCACACAAGACAAGGACATGATCAGCTGACTCCATTTGGCCAACGGAAACCATCATAAAGAAAAGGAAACATTGAAGTAGTGAGAAAAGATGGTCTGAAGACAGTCATCATTGGTGTCCTATATGTGCCTTATATGACAAGTAGCATGAATAAAATATTGGTAATTTACTTGTAAAAGGGCACATCATGAAGATGATAGACAATCAAATGAAGGTTTTTAATGGTGAAGGAAGATTGATCCTGAGAGCACCATTAGAAGATAATAAAACCTTTAAGATTGAGATCAACATGATTAATCATCAATGTCTTACTTTGACTACAGTAGAAGACAAGAACTGGTTGCTTAACTTGAAGAAGATGGTGTATGGTCTACCTCAGATAAATGAACCAAGTCAGATATGTGAATAATGTTACAGAGCAAAGCAAGAAAGGAAATCATTCAAGCATGGTCTTCCTATGAAGGCCAAGAAAAGACTAGAACTTGTGAATTCTGATGTGCGTGGACCTTTTAAAGTTAGGTCGAATGGAGATAACTATTACTTTCTAACTTTCATAGTTGAGTTTACAAGATATATACGAATTTATCTAATTGAAAGGAAAGTGAAGTGTTCACACCATTCAAGAGATTTAATTTGCATGTCAAAAAAAAGTGAGTACAACATTAAGAAATTGAGAACTGATGGTGGAATTGAGTATACTTCAATAGGATTCGCAAGATTCTACAATGACGAAGGTATATATCACGAGGTTATTGCACCTTATACACCTCAGCGTAAAGGAATGACTAAGATTAAAAAAAATAGAAGTATACTGAACAAGTCAATAAGTATGTTGAAAGCCAAAGACATTTTGGGGGAAAGCAGTTTCGACAGTAGTTTTCATACACAACAGATGTCCAACCAAGAAAATAAGGCACAAGATACCTTATGAGGCTTGGACAAGGCTGAAGCCAAATTTTAATCATTTTAGAGTATTTCGATCAATATGCTTCAGGCATGTACCTGAGCAATTTATGAGGAAGCTAGATGACCAAAGTCAAGTCATAATGCTCATGTGTTATCATTCAAATGATGCATACAAGTTGTATTCACCAAATGGTGATAAACAGGTGATCAAAAAGGATGTTCTAATGGATGAAAGCAAAGGGTGGAATCAGTTCGACATTAGCAAGAGACGTTCACAACTCTGCTTGAAGAAGACTAGAAAAATGAAGCCACGACCACTTAAAATGAAGAATCGCTCGAGCATAATGTTAGAAGATACACTAGAAAAAGACTGAGTCGACAAGGCTATTTGGATATGGGAGATTCCAGATCAAGAAATTGATACAAATGGTGACCTCAAAGAAGAAGTGATTATGATGGATGAATCAGAAACAATTAATTTGGATCAAGCCATGAATGACTCAAATTGGTTGGCATCATGAAAGAAGAACTCAGTGCAATTGAGAAGAATAAAACATGGGAGTTTGTTGAAAGATCTAGAAAGAATCCAATCGATGTTAAGTGGGTTAGCTAAAAATGTGACCAAGTGGTGAAATTTCAATGTATAAGGTAAGACTAGTGGCAAAAGGTTTTCTACAAATGCCTGGTATCAACTTCAATGAAGTCTATGCACCTGTTGCAAGGTTAAAAACAATCAAGATTGTTATGTCGACTTTAACATACAAAAGATGGAAGATACAACAATTGGATGTTAAGTCAACATTCTTGAAGGGACCATTGGAATAAGAGGTCCACATTAGTCGACCATCGTGATTCAAAATCAAAGGGAAAAAGCAGAAGGAATAAGAAAAAGGATGAGCAAATTTTGGTAAACAATGCTTGAATTCTCGACTTAAATGGTTGTGAAACTTGTCTTGATGATGAGGGAACCTTATGAATTGATATTTCCAAAAAGTTGAGCATGAACCCTTGATTGAGATTTTTAATATGAAACCCTTTCTTTGAGTGTTGAACTAAATACTTTGATCCCCTGTCTAGAACCAATGCTATGCACTAATGCCAATGCAAATTGATATGAAACATAAGCCAAGGTATAAGAAAAAGGATGGGCAAATTTTGGGTGCTACAATAAGGGTGGTGAACATATGGAAAAGTTAACTAGTTTCTTCTTCACGGAGTTTCCAGAATCGTATGAAGCACGAGACATGTTCAAAGTATTTAAAGATTTTAGACTAGTGGAGGAAGTCTTCATTCCATTAAGAAGAGCCAAAAGAGGAAAATTATTTGGTTTTGTAAGATTCAGACAAGTTGAAAACACAAGGATATCGGGTGTCAAGTTAGATAATATCATTATTCTTGGGAAAAAGACCTTCACAAATACTCCAAGATTCCAGCATGCTACCAAGCTGACTACATATGGAAATGAGAATATTAATCATAACATCAACGTCGACTGTGTTAGGAGTAAAGTTCAGGATGGAGATAGGAGATGACATCCTAGAAACCATATGGTGTCGTATTCCTAAGTGGTTGAAGGTGTAACACCCTTTTCTACCCCACGAATATTATGGAAAAATAATATAGTTTATCAGAGTAAAATTTTAAACACCATAAAAATCACCTCAAACCTATCAGACCATCCGTTCAACTCCTTATACAGTTAAAACCTCAATAATAGATTTTGGCCATGAAGGCCTACTTTCCCTCAAACCCAAATCAACCTCAAACCTCTCAGACCATCAGTTCAAATCCCTATACGGTTAAAACCTCAATAATAGATTTTGGCCATGAAGGCCTAATATCCTTTATCTCAAATCAACCTCAAACCCTTTAAACCCTTAAATCAGCTTTAAATACATTGAATCACATATTGAAAACAATGAAGGCAATACTCCCCATACCTTAATTGCCTACTCTAAGTCTTTCTCCTTGATTCTTGGAAACCTCGTGAAGCTTTTGCCTCAATCCTCTTCCTCAGAGCTCTGACCTCTATTTCTTCCCTTTTCACGGTCTAACAAGAATGAATCCTAATTCCCTAAAAATTCCTTTTTGTTAAACCTAACTTTGGGCCTTAAAATTGGGCTCTCCAACTTCACCCTCACTAACTCCTCTTCAAATGTCCACTTTGCCCTTAATTCACTTATATTTATTTAAATTAGTAATAATACCAATATATTCATATTATATACTATTATTTAAATAAATAACTCAAAATTCATAATTCTCAATACTTCATACCAACCACCACAAATCACCAAAAATACGAATATTCATATTTAAATAAATAAAATAAATATTCTAATAAATTTGGGGTGTTACAACTCTCCCCCACTTAAAAGAATTTTAGCCATAAAAAATTACCTTAAGGAAACAGAGTCGGATACGACTCCCTCATCTGATCCTCACGCTCCCAAGCCCAACTTTCTCCAGCTGGTCCTCCCAAAACTACCTTTACCAAGAAAATCTCTTTACCTCGCGGTTGCTTCACTTCTCGTTTATCAATCCGTACTGGCAATGCCTCAACAGTCAAATTATTTCTCACTTGTACATCATCCATCTGAATCACATGTGACAGATCTGAAATGTACTTCCTCAACTGAGACACATGAAATGCGTCATGCAAATTCGCAAGCGACGGAGGTAAAACAGTCCGACATGCTACTTCTCCCACGCTTACGCTGCGCCACTCTGATACGGACCAATAAAACACGGTGTGAGCTTTCTGGACTTCAAAGCTCGACCAACACCAATTATCGGCCTAACTCTCAAAAACACGTGATCTCCTTCGTGGAACTCAAGTGCTTTCCTTCTCTTATCATGGTAACTCTTCTGACGACTCTACGACGTTTTCATCTTTTCTTGGATCATCTTGATCTTTTCAGTTGTCTCTTGCATAATCTCAGGTCCGAGTACAACACTCTCGCCTGATTCATACCAACACAAAAGAGTCCTACATCTCATACCGTACAACGCCTCATACAG